CTCCCGCTCCGTAGGCGGGCGCCTTAACCATTGGGCCATGCGACCGTTGTGTATTACTTTAAAAGAAACGATGTCGGTTATGTCTTCTTTAGTCAAAATCACATTCCATTGCTCTTTATAATATATTAAAAGGCATACATGATAAAATTCATCACATATTTCATCATCAAATCATTAGTTAATAGCATCTGTTGTTATAAAAAATAACTCTGCTATATTCAATTCAAGAATTATTTCAATATCTATTTATCTAAACGTTAAAAAAGAAGTGAAAATATCTTAATTTGATTTATTATATATATATTTAAAAACTGAATGTCATGGTTTTCTCTCTTATATAAATAAACTTGCATGATAATATTTCATTTGCTCAAGGGCGATATTTAAAGAAAAGTTCATTGGAAAAATTGTTTTTTTCTTCTAGAAGAAAAAAACTCTGATAACATATTTTATTAAAATTAAGCTTGAGTACCTAAGAGATGTTAAGAACAATCTTTATTTTTAAATATGTAATAGGAAGTTCCGGAACTGTCTCGTTTCGAATAAAAGACAAGAATATTAATTTCTATATTTATTTAAAATACATTGGTTTTTTAATAATGACATGTATAATATGTAATAATGGTTTTTGAAAACTACTACCTCCACATAATGTATAAATATAGAATGGCATTCCATTAGCTACAAAAGATAGAAGAAGTGCAATATTATATATAAAATGATCAAAAGATGATTTTAATGGTGTTTGTATTTGAAACGTAGTTGATGTTATATAAACTTTCGCAACAACTTGTGGAAGAGTTAATATACCTTGTACAATAACTTGAGTAATTAATACAGAAAATAAGTGACGATCTTGTTTTTTCCATTGAATCGATTGTTCTTTTGAATGAATAATTTTACTTGGATTATTTTGACCTATAGTTATTATTTGTCGTGGATGTACACGAATTTGAATTTGGTGAATATTAAAAATTGTTTTTAATCCAAAAACTATCATTAATATCAAAGGTAATATTACACTAATACCACCATATAATGTATCCGAAATAACTTGACATACAAATGATTTTCCATAGCATTTCAATGGTGTATTAACTAGATTCGCTTTATAACAATAAAATATTTGACTATAAATTGAAATTGAAATAAAAACTACGATTATAAAACAAATTTTAATATTTTTTAATGTATTCATTTGTCGATAACGAGCATTTCGACTTGATGCAATCCATCGATCAACAGTAGCTAATGCAATAAGCCAAAATGCAGTTGTTCGTGAACTAAATAAAATAAATCCACGAAATTTACATAATAAAGAATTTGTGTTTGTTGGATCTGTTGCCCAACCAGCTAGAATACGTGTTGTAAGACCAAATAGTACTGAAATAAGATCAGCTATAGTTGAAGTAAGAAAAAGCCAAGCACATGGATTTGAACGTAGTGTTCGTTGTGATAAAACAAGAACATTAAGACTATTACCCACAACAGCAAATATAAATATAAATACAGTAAAATATCGATCAATTTGAACTGTTAAATTATTGAATAATTCGACTGTATTTTCATATGATGATATATTTGACATGTTTATGTCTGAAAAGATATTTCTTTCATATAATAAGAAAATAAAGAATGTGAACTAACATTTTCTAATTAACTACATATATAGAGGGTATATTAAGGATAAAGACTGTCTATTTTTATTGTAGATATATGACGTTTTTTTTTCTCTTTAAAATTATGAGCAATAATACTTTTGCCATAAAACTTTATGTTACCTCCAGGAAAATGAGTGGTTGAATCCTTATTAATATAACCTAAACCGATTTATAATTTGGTTTTTTTATATAATCTTTCAATTTCATTAAGCATTAAGGTCTAGATGACAGTCAAGAGTTTTATGATGATCACTTATAATCTCAAATTACGTACGCACGTTAATATGTTAGAAGAAGGAAATTATTTCTTATACGTATGCTAGTGAAACAATGAGGTATACAAAAAATATACAACAATAACTCTAGCATTATATATATAAATTCACTTTTGGATAAGAATTAATCGTGACAGTTCGAAGTAATAAATAAATAGAATTTTTTTTAGTTAAAAAATTAGCTCATTTTATGAGTAGAGTTATCGAGTTGAAACTATTCTTCTAAATCAATAATTATACTTCGAATACATTAGTATATAATTATGATATGATTACTCGTCTAAGACATATATTAATTTTAAATGAACTGATAACCATCCTACGAATTGTTTATCAAGATAGAAATTATATTTGTTACTTTATTTGACATACATGCAGTAAGTGTTAACGACAAAATTATTTAGAGTAAAATCAAGATGTTCTCTTCACATCTATCAAAGAAAGACTTTATTTTTCAATATTTTTCATCATATATAGGAATGAAAACAAAATTATGTAGTTATTCAAATTTTAGTTTACAAAGACGTTGCTACTATTTAAAGATGTAAGAAGTATAATCGTTATAAAAGTACTAGAGTTATTTTCGTATAAATTTTTTTATTAAACTCTCTGGCAAACTTCGAAGACAGACTTCTTTCTCATGCGTAACTTTGTAATAAATGTGAAACGTAGGGTATAAGTACCTATAGGTACTTAACCCTTGATTACTGTTGTAGAGTCCGCGTGGATCTACTTTACAGGTTTTCGTCTCATACTACACAACTATTTACTGTTTCGGTCATTTGTTTTTTGTAATCTCTGAGTATTGGTAGCTGTACAATATCCTGATAAAAGATCATGAATAAATCTAAGAGAGAAAAAATACAGATGAGTCCACGCGGACCACAGGACACTAATGATGGTTTATATATGATTTTTCGCTTTTTTATAACTGTCATTCGTTGCGTATTGATTTATTTTCGAATTAAATATGTTCTGATTCGTTGCACGTTCACCTCTCATAATAGTAATTCACATTTTCTTTGTAAATTGTTAAATTTTCGTTATTTTTTTGATAAAAACTAGTATGAGTCAATACTTTTTCTTCGCATCGTTCGTTCTTGTATTGCCTCTAGAGAGAAGTATTTGGAAATTTATCATATATAAATAGGTATCTTTCGTAAAGCAAAACCACCATTTTTGTAATTTTCATGGAATGGGTCTACGCGGATCCCAAGGGACTGTTGAAGTTATAGAATGAGAACGGTAATCGAGAGTTAAATATAAATATCGTGAGTAGAACTATATTAACTTCGTGATTCAAAAGCTTAATTAACGTCTGGAACGCTACTTTGTTTTAAAGATCAGTTGTTTTTTCGCATACATTCAATTTAGTTGATCTCTTTCTATGATTTATAGTGTCCTCTGTGAAATACCTAAGCATAGTGATCATTAAAAATAGAGAAATCATTGAAAGACATCTCTGTGAACAGTTTCTCTCGTAGTCTGAGTCCGAGATGAGAAGACTATAGTTGACTTTTCTACATTATGGAATAAATTATAATTCATCACATCTTTAATAAGTCTAAATTGATTAATACATCACGAATAAGTGATTATTCTTTTCATTTAATTCTTTTTAATAATGAATACTAATTAATTGATTCAATCAGATCATGCGTTGGCGATATATTCATATATATATATATCGCGTTTTCCCACTTTTCATTCATCATACAGGGTCTCGCTCAACAATATTACAATTCAATTGCATAGAAGTTATTCTTATTATTATTACAGGGAACACTCGTAAAGAGTTAGAAATGTATACATGTCTGAGAAGGTCATTTTTACACATACGTATGTATGTGTAGTACTTTATTAGTCGGCTTTGTCCATTACGTTTTTATTATTTACAGAGTTGTTCTCCGTACGCGTGTGTGAGTCACTACAACTAGAATTAATTCAAAAATAAGTGAACAATAGATTCTTTTACTTATTTATCACTTATTATTTATAATTACTTTTTTTACAACTTCAATACTCTCTCTCACAGTTTTAATACTAGGATGAGTTGGAGGGAATGCTCGTTGAAATATGTGCAGAGCCCGTTCCAAATATAATAGTGCTTTCGAATAGTCTTTCATATTGTAATACAAACTTCCTATGCACCAATATGAAGTAGCCAAAGAAGGATGATTCAAAGGAAGAGTTTTTTGAAAGATTCCAAGTGCTCTTTCGTAATATGAAAGTGCTTTCGAGTACTCTCCCATCATGTCATATACCAAACCGATGTTGTTGTATGAAGTAGCCAATGAAGGATGATTTGAAGGAAGGGTTTTTTGTCGAATTTCAAGTGCTTTTCCGTAATATGAAAGTGCTTTCGAGTACTCTCCCATCTTGTCATACACATGACCGATGTTGTTGTATGAATTAGCCAATTCAGAATGATTTGAAGGAAGAGTTTGTCGAATTTCAAGGGCTTTTTTGTGAGATGCAAGTGCTTTCGAGTACTCTCCCATCTTGTTATACACACTACCGATGTTGTTGTATGAAGTAGCCAAATCCAGATAATTTGAGGGAAGAGTATTCTGTGTAATTTCAAGTCCTTGTTCATAATACCAAATAGCCTTTTCATAATCACCTTGATTCGCATGGATAACCCCTATCTGATTATAATAAAGCGCCTTTTCACTCCCATCATATGTTTGTTCGAGTAATACGTTATAAAGCTCTTCAGCTTTATTAAATTGACCAATTGTAACCAATACGTTACCCAATCTTTTCCATCCAGTACTACTATCAGTTTCTTCTCGTATCCGATCAGTAAGTACTCGTAGTTGTTGGTCATCATCCGATGTTAATTCTAATTCAACTTGATACAGTTGATTTTTACTGTCCATTTGATTAATTGCATTAACTCGAAAGACGGTATGCATTGAGAAGAGAATTTCTTCTTCTTCCTTAAAATAACTCACCTCTTTGATGGAAGCAAATGGCGTTGATTTTAAACGAGGATCAATGGACATTATAAAGAGAATGCCGACCATATCTGGTTTTGTTGAAGCACGCCCAGCAAAGCCGAGGGACACTTCTTTATCTTTACTGGTAGACAAGAAATTGTTAAATGACATTAGTCCACCTTCTACTTTCTGAAGTTTTTCAAAGTCTGATTTCATAAGACCTTGTCCTCGATAAACTAAAAAAGGTTTTCCTCCATAACTACTGACCTGTTGTTCGTACAGCTGCTTAATTTGTTGATGTACATCACGTAGAAAGAAGCCCATATTAATGATTATATCGGCATCCATTAGTCGAAGTGCTTGATTGAGCATTTTGTAGGTAAAACACTCACGTGTATACCACCATATCGCGTTTTGTGGATCATAGTCACGTTCAAATTTATCGATAATTTTTAATTCAGTTACATTGCCAGTAAAAGCTTCACGGCAACAAAGTGCTAAGTCCTTGATTGCCTTTTCACCGTATTCCATATCAAGGAGAATCTCCTTGAACAGTTGAGTATACATGAAAGTTGGCTCCAACTGATTTAAATTATCAGTTGAAGCCATTTCATTTATCGTAAGAAAACTTACGGCAATTGTGTCCTGGTGACATTGCTTAACAGCCAATTGTAATGCTTGACAAATATCTTTGATATTTGTATGGACACCTTTGATTTTTGTCCAATTTTGAGTCCATCCCTCATGTCTGGATTTGTTGCCACAAAAGATGTAAACGGCATCTAGCTGTGGTGTGTCATGAATTTCAGGAACCAAATGTTGACCTAATGAGCCTGATGTTATCACAAAGGCTTGTTCCTTGTCAATCTTCTTGAGTACTTGAATGCACTGATTCGGTTCCGTGCATACGTTGACATCGTTGACCACGCTCTTCAGTTGAGCCAGTGTATTCTGACAGTCCTTGTTTGCTTGGTCGATGTTGGCATCTACCCAGAGGAGAAGGTAATTTTGTACCATACGTTGTCGTGGTTGACGAATATTTGATGATGCAGCAGCAGCATTTTGATTTGATTTTGATTCGCTCATTCTGATCTTGTGGTAGTTTGTTGTTGAAGGTGAATTTGTTAATAGACGTTCTTGTTTGAATGAAACAAAAGATTACCGTTCTTCTTTATATAGACATTGACTTGTTTTTTCTTGATTTTTCGGCGACTTCGATTGTTTGTGTGTTTTTGTTGTCGCTCAAAAACAAATTCCACTAAGTTACGTTTGAAAATAATATTGTGCAGAGCAAAGGACAGATCAAAATAAACAAATTTGTTGATTATGTTATTGAAAGAACGAACAAAACAGAATCCAACATTTGAATTCATTTTATTGTTATTCTTTCCAACTTATTCTTGCTTCTGTCTACACTATTACTGCAGTTTACTGATGTGTAGGCGACTTTTTTCTCATCGACTATAGGTAGAAAGAGAAACACAATTCTTTCACCGAATTAATTCTTCTTTTACATTCTTTGTCAAACATCATATTAATGTTTGATGAATGTATGAAATTGATGATGAAAAAATCGATGGAAGAAGCTTTGTGAATTTTTGTACATAGAACATGCTTTCAACATCATACGAATGAATAAAAAAAACCGTACGATCCATATTGATGAAAGTAAGATCGAAGAAACTTTTTTGTTCTCTGTTAAAACAAGCAAAGTATTTCGTACAAGATCATCGAAGAGTTTTATTAAAAATAGTTTTTTAAAAATTACAAAAATATCAAGAAATTTTTTCATAGTTTGAATATTAAATAGTATTGTTCAATAAAAAAGGAATTATTTTATATTCATAAAGGTGCAAATGACTATTTCAATTGTTGATAGTATTTGAAAAAAAGTGAGCGTTCTAAAAATAACGCGATGCTCAAAAACTATGTGCTTCGCATGAGAAAAGAGGCTTATTGAATGCTCTACCAAATAATATATTATCTGAAGTAAGACAAACGCTTCTCTGTGAGGTATTCCGATGAAAGTTTGTTTTTGCATTAAAGTTAATAATTTGTGAAATGATTTCTTTATCACTTTATGTGCTGTTTATTTTTTTTTTGTATATCAGAACAATTATTTCAATACAACATGGATGACTCTATTGTAATAAATATTGTATATACAAGATAGAAATCATCAAAAAAATCAGAAAAACTACATTAAAAACAGAATTTATACATTATCCGTTCTTATCTAATAAATATTGATTTTAGTTGCTAAAAAGGAAGAAGTTGAATGAATACAACAATCATCTTGAAACAGTATACATGTATGCATCACTACACTTATGTCTATTACAAGTCATATTGCATGAAAATCTATGAAGAAAAACGCTGTTAAAAGTATTTTAAGAGAATTATGTGTAGTATACAAGTATTCTATATAAGACAAATAATTTCTTTTCGTTTAAATCTAAAAATATAATGTCATTATTATGAATAATCATGTGGCTTGTTTTGATTTCAAATCAGTCCGTGAAAAAAAGCTATGTTGCCGATCTATGTTAGTCTTATTAAATACAAATATAAGAAAAAAGAAAGATTGATAAAAAAAGTACATTGACAATGAAACAAACAAACGTTAATGCAGTTTTATTATTTTTGCCATTCAATTTTCATCTTTGTATGTATAGTCACTGATCAGAATGAAGAAAGAGTGTGTGAAGAAATAAATTTGAAAAGAAAAGCGAAACTGCATATTACTTATTGTTTCTCACCGTTCATCACTATAGTTTCATTAAGTAGATGATTTAAATGTATGAAAAGCATGGTGAAGAATAGTTTGATGGCCTAAAAAGATTATATTACGAATAGTTTTCATTCTCTAAAAACCACTGCTCATGTAAATCATTCATTCTAATAGAAACTATTGTTTCATATATTTAAAAAGAAAGATGTCTTTTTTTGTTCAATGTATTTGAAACAAATCTAATTAACAACACATTGTATTACTATATTGAAAGAAAAATCAGTTGATTATTAGTGTTCTTAGCATTTGAATTATCGATGAATATTTATTTCTGCAAAAAATAGCTTTTTATTATCGAATAACTAATATAATATTGTTCTGGAATGTTATAATTATAATTACACGATAAAAGGTTAACACAAGTTTCGTTACAATCATTCAAAACCGAACATAAATATATGTCTCTCGTCTCTAATAGGTCAAATAAACCGAAGGGCTGATATAGATTAAGTTCACATTCAATTGTTATTATTAAAATATATAACCGTAGTACAAATCAAACACCAATCATTTTTTATGATTGTATTATAACCAGCAATGAGAAAACTATTTATTAACATGAAAAAAATAATAATTTAGTTAACATATAATTTTTCGTTTCATGGTTTGGATAAAATCAGAAAGAGCCTTGCGAAAAATAGTTCCCCCACACAATGTATAAATATAAAAAGGCATTCCATTCGAAACACAATAGAGTAAAATAGCCATGTTATAAACAAACATATCAATTGCATCTTCTACTGGTGATATATTCTCGCTAGATATTGTCGAATATAATTTTTGAATTGATAATGGAAGAGTAAGTATTGTAAGAATAATTACTTGTACAAACAACATTCGAAGAAGACTTCGATCAGTTTTTCTTTTTAATTTTTGTTGTGGATTTTCAATAGATAATCCTGATGATTTATTTACACTATGATCAATATTTTCAGTCTTTAATATTTGTATTCGACGATGAGATTGACGAATATTTGATATAGTTAACAAACCAAATATAATCATAACAAATAAAGGACATAGAACAGTAATAAAAGTCAATGATAAATCAGTCAAATGACGACAAACTTTTGTTTTTCCATAACATTTCAATGGTGTATTCATAAGCTTTGCTTCATAACAATAAAACATTTGAGCATAGAGAATAATTGAAAAGATTGTAATGAATATTGCACTTCGTTGAGCATTTTTTAATGTACTTAAATGTCGACGATGTACATTGATATTTGATAGAAACCAACGATCAATTGTAGCAAATGTGATCAACCATAATGCGATAGTTCTTGATGAGAATACAATATG